GATTCGTTAAATCTAGATTCTATGTGATTTATTGAGACATTCTGCTCACTTTGCCGCAGTCAGCATTCAATGGGTTATTTATATGGGCTAGGGTAGCTCAAATAAACACACAGGGGGGGGGGGGGGGGTCGGGGCGGGCGCGGATGTTATTATGAGGGCTTACAAATTGCTTATTTGTGTTACTTGTAGCCAAAATAAAGACATCCAATTTCTAATATTTTTTTATCACGCAGGCTTTTTTACATCTCCATTCACACAATTTAGGCCCTCCAACGCTTTAATGGATTTATATTTGACGAGCAAATAAATTTATAACTTTAATGGATTTATATTTGACGAGCAAATAAATTTATAACATAATAGATTTATATTTGACGAGCAAATAAATTTATAACATCATAACATGCAGGGATATGCCACTGGACTTTTGTAAAAATAACTGAAAATTTTACAGCACTCGCAACTGCATAAGGTCGTATGAGTGCGTGGGACACATTAAACATTTTTTGGTCGTATGAGTGCGTGGGACACATTAAACATTTTTTGGTGGGCAGTCTTGTCGATTTTAGACCACCAAGGGATCTATAACGTGTGCAACTTGCACAGGGGACCTCCGAGAATTTTCACCCCTGTCCGAGAAGGCTAGGTGTAGATCTTTTCTATTAGAAGATCACGGGTGTGGCTGAAAGACAGCAGTAATAAGGAGCCAAGGAGTAGCAGTAGAAAGGCTGCAGAAAGAGTCAGGAGCCCAGAGGAGGGGGCAAAGGAGGTGAGGGGATGGGGGCAGAAAGTGGAGATGAAAACAGACGACAGAACATTGCTAGAGAGCAGGAAAGGAGGTGAAAGGAGATAATTTTAGAAAAGAAAATTTTTCTAGAGACAAAAACCTTCACCTCTAGACCATGAGAGCCCGAGCCCCCCCTCCCCAACTAGATTTATCATGCGACGAAGCAATAAATGTAACAAAACAATATCATTTATCAGTTCAACAATAAAACAAAGATTTAGATCAAGATCTCCCAAGCGTGATAGTGAGTGCACAAGGATAGGACTGGCCTGCATTTAAAATCGGACCTAAACATCCAGTTGATCATGCGCATTTTGATATAGCTCAATTGATTGAAATATGATTCTCGTGCTGCTCTGTCCGTATACATGGAACAGAACGGAAAATCGGCTTCCCCCACAACCATGTTTGCGTGGTTAACGGAGAACGGATCTGAAGAATGGAAAACCAATTTAAGAACGTACAATGCCCAAAACAAATTGAAAAATATTGGAAAAACGGCATCCCTGAATAAGTATTTTTAAATATATACCATACCCGTCTGAAAAGTGACATCGTTAGTCCTGTAAGATCCACCACAGACAACAAATGCTGTATAGCTTGTCCGTTCAGAGAGGTCAAACAAACTGATCATTTGGTAGTGGGGCTCCAAGTACATGTCGATAATCTGAGCAGTTTTCTCCCCTGTCTGAAAGTATGTGAGTGCACATCTTTCTGCAGAATTTTCCGGAATCACAAAAGGGCTTGATACTGGGATACTCCATGACAAGTTGGCAGAATTATTGCAGGTGCTAACCAAATGTAAGATGATTGGATGAGAACTCGAGTCTGGAAGTGCAAAGGAAAGAAACAATCTCATTTAATGCAAGGCTTCCAAAATGACTCATTATATAAATGTTTTCTTTAGGGGTTAAAATAAATAGATGCAAAAATTATTTTATAACAATTTTCACAGAACTGATTTATATGCCGTCAAAAAAAAAATGCACATTCCAAATTATGGTCTTCTATCCAAAACAAGCTTAAAAAAGAATAGAAAGATGGGGACGCAAAAAAGGCTGATGCTGGTGCATTTGCTGTTGTTGAACAAATAAAATAATAATAGAAATTGGAGGAAAAAAAGGTGAAATATTGATTTTTCTTAATAGCTTTTTTATGGCCATTATGTAGACCTATACTGTGAATAATGTGCCACTCTATGAAATCTAAAAGTTATGATCTCAGGGGAAAAAAATTAGTATTTGGAGCAAAAGATCGGGATCAACGACAAACCCCCAAGGTGATTGCCAGGCTGACTAAAACTTTTCCTGGGGTGTCCATAAATATATTATATCCATGTATACACGCCTTCTGTGTGTGTGTGTGTGCGCGCGCGTGTGTGTGTGTGTTTTATCTTTCTTCTTTTTAATCCTGAAGTATCACGTCAAGCACTCCTAATCAAAGTGTCTATCCCGCCCCTCCCCCAAAAAATAAATCCTGAAAGATACCTCGACCAGTGTGCATGAACTTAAGTTGACCCCGTCAAAGGATGGTCCCCAAAACACATGAAACGCACATGCTAAAGACATGCTGCATGATGCGAACATGTAAATCCAGCATTGATATTTTGGAAAATAGTGCTCAGACTTCCTGCTGACCTAAAGTTAATCAGGTACTTCCCGCGACAGAGAAGAAGGCAGAGTTGGTTTCTAGAAAAATCCGACCCAACAGACGTAACAAAAAAATAGGGATACATGTGATCGAAATGGAGAAAATCGGGATGCTTGACCTTTGGGGTAAAAAATGGGGATGAGTGGATCTTTCTGGATAGCACTCTGCTGATCAGTGCGTGATCTTGAGATACTTCTGAGACGAAAATCAAATTGACCATAACAAACAGTCTAGCTCCCACATAATGAAAATAGGCAGTTTGTGAAAATCTTTTCGCTATGCATGAATTTCGCTATAGACGAATTTCAGGATAGAAATAAACAAAGTTCGACACTTGGGTCAAAATTCTATGTGTGATTTGAACCTTTGAAACGTTTTTAAGGAAAAACTCAAAAATTTTTACACATAAAATTAAAAAGTAGTTAAATGCAAAGTACACAAACCTTCCCCAAGAGCGGCAAGAATACACCAGCTCACAGAGAACAAGAACAACAGCATAACTCTCATGTCCTGGATAAAGTACAGCATATGACTTGCAACCATCGTATTGACTGGGAACCCCTTCTGTTTTAAGAAAAGTACTGAGGAGAAGAGAAAAATGTATGAACAAAAAGTGTGAAGTCAGGTTCTAATCTACAGTCAAGAAAAAATGTTTTCATGAGGACTGACCCTTTATAAAAGAAAACTTTTGTGAGGAAAATTGAAAGAAGCTATCATGAATGCAATCAAATTCCATTTTTCTTTCCAGGGTGTATACACATGGGGTAGATTTCTATTCAACAAGTGTTTACCTTCACTTTGAAAGAAGCTTTTCAGAAAGTTTAAATTTGACCCTCACAATGCTACTTCTCAACATTGTCACCCTGCAAAAAAGACACCTTCATCTCGTAGCTTTTGCCGCTCGGTTGAAAGTGACGGTCGGCAACAGTCAGCCGCAGTCCACAACAGTCTACATTAAATACTGTATGTCAACTGGCTGTATGTGTGACCAAAAGACTTTATGGAAATTCCCACTAAGTTTTTATTTTTCATGACAAAGCAAAGTGCGTTCTTCGATAAAAAATAAGAAGTAATAAATACAACCAAACGATTCAAATGAATACAGAAAAGCTAAATCTATTGACAGTAATACATGTAATCAAAAGTCTACAGATTTTGACAAAGCTATACGAGCTTTTGCCAAAAGGTGGGGGTGTTTGCTTAAGGACTTTTAAAATCAACCACTACTCAATGTAAAATATGTTTTCTTCTGAAAACTTTATGCATGTGGCAAGGAAATAAGTTGGTCAAGCTGCATGAGCAAGTAGATTGATGTGTGCATCTTATATCTCTACATAGAAAGATAATAGTACTGTTTTCTTCTGAAAACTTTATGCATGTGGCAAGGAAATAAGTTGGTCAAGCTGCATGAGCAAGTAGATTGATGTGTGCATCTTATATCTCTACATAGAAAGATAATAGTACTGTTTTCTTCTGAAAACTTTATGCATGTGGCAAGGAAATAAGTTGGT